TGCACTTCAAATTGAAGTATGCGCTGAAGATGTCACCCAGTAAGGTGATGAAAGCTTCGCAAACTAACCATCCAGCTCAGAGAACAAAACCACATCAAAATCATCCACCTGAGCTACAAATCTTCTCTATCATGTTTGCACTTACTCTGACTAGTCTTTCTTCTATCTTTATTTGCATGACTTCTGGGGATCAGAGGTGATTGGAAATAGGTATTGGGATTCGGTTTTCAAACGAGTTACGCATGTTTTTATATTTAGAAAAAATTAGAGCTTGATTCCACTCAGTATTTTGGGACTACCATGGAATTTGCTTCGGTGGCATAACGGTTAAGACGCTCGCCGACCATGCACATGGTCCGGGGTTCGATACCCGGCCACAGACGCACTCCTTTACCTCGATAAGCCAGAAGTAATGCTGGTAAAGAGGAAAGGTTGGGCATGAGGCTAGCAACCCTATCCTGTAAAATTAAACACTGTTACAGAAACTTCAGGTCACTGGCTTGAAGCCCTATGTTCCACTGGAAACGTGAAGGAAAAATTATTATTATTATTATTTATGGAATTTTTAGTATGTGATATCAGTAGCCCAAATCTAAGAAGCCAACCGTTAATATCAGGCGTGCGTCAGCTGGCGATCGAACCCCGGACCATGTGGATGGTCTCTGTAAGCTTCCTAACCACCGTGTCACCGACGTGGTATTGGATCCCAGTTATTAATAATGCCAGTCATATGAACGTATATCAAATTTTGGCAACGTTATTGAATTTGAACAACTATATTCTTCTCGCATATAGTGTATCTGACGATAATAGACGGGAATAGGCATACACAGTCGATTCACACACAAAAAATGCTCTTTTTGACTTATTTATAGAGCAGTTTCACTAGTCATTAGGAAAGTTACTTTTATACGAAGTCGTGAAAGAGTAATCCTATTCCTTAGTGTTTTGGGGTGACAGTTTACTTTTTTGTCAACAGTTCCTCCAGACCATCTCCGTGACTTCTTAGTTTAAACTGTCAAAGTGAATATAAGACTGTCATCATTAGTGTTAAATTGTCTCAATGAAATGAGAATTTTTTTAACAAGTTGTATTATGAACTTTTCTTGAAAGTTTTCAAGTGATTTATGGACTCCATATTAGAATTATTTATTTTAAATATCACACAGTGAGTGATGCAGTATTAACAACTGGATAACAAGGTTTCGTGCATAAGTTATTACTCGTAATTATAACAATTCAGTCACGCAGCTTCGTAATTTATCTTATATGCGTTTATATATTTTTTCCTCTCCTTCTCTCCCTCTTCCTCTTGTTGTTTGTTGCTACACCCCATGTCTCCGGTATTGGCGTTGCGTCATTTCGATTACACGTGTGCAGTATTGAATCGATAAAATGATTAACCCGTCTCTCTCTCTCTCCACCTAACTATATTATTTTTTAAATACGCTTACCTCATCCCGACCTATTGTGTGATTACCTGTAAGTGAAGGCATTGCAATGGCCAAACTTTTCCCCGAGGTAATTTACCTTAGTAGGGTCAATCATTCTAACTTCAGCTAAATTTTTTATGTTCTGACGGTCTTCATTGACCCTGATTTACCAGTAGAACCTAAATAATCAACCACACAGTTATTGCATGACATGTTATGGTAAATTATATTTATGTTCCTTAATTGGATCTATTGGGTCCTTAAGCCGACAAAGTTGATCTCTGAGAGAGTTGGTTAGTTGGTTGGTTTAGATGCCATCCTAATTCCAGCTTCATTGAGAATCCCACTTAAGGCCTTCGACTTTCCGTCTTTATACGGTAATACTATAGAGGCTTTGAATTCCATATTTTCTTTTTCCTTCTCTTTATTAATCTCATTTTTTTTCTACGGTTTCTTATACATTTATGAATAACTAATCTAATATGGAATTACATTCTACCACAGTGCCCTAGTTCTACACTTACATTAATGATTTATGGACTCTTCTTAATTAATTAACAAATTAACAAGTGAACTACAAATCGTTTTTAGGTAATTAGTTTGATTTATTGTGAATCTTGTTCACTGTTTAATTCAATATATTGACTGGTTGAAGGGTTTCATCATGAGCTGACATCAGCTAGAGAACCATTGGATTACCTGCAGGGAGTACTGGACAACTGTTTCTTTCGACCTAGTTTGGAGCTCTTCATCAGTACTAACCCAACGGTACTCGAACACAGGACCTCTTAGTTACAAGGCGAGGCAGTAGCTCATCGAAGAAAACATTGTCAAGTGGTTGTGCTATGTCATAAATTGGCAGAAGTTAGAATTCATTGGCTGGCCATTGGATTGGGTCTTAGCGGCTTAGTGGTATACTAGGTCGCTATCCTTGTAACTAGAAGGTTCTGGGTTCGAACCCAGCAGTATGGGGTGCGTACTGAGAAAGAGTCCCAGCGATCCAGGACAAAACTGATATGTAGTACTCCCTGAAGGTTTTCCAATGGTTCTCTAACTGATGTCAGCTCATGATGAAGTCCTCCAACGAATCAAACAAAATAATCCCTACAAAAACCAATACTTGAGGATTAATTGTTTTTTTTCCACCTCACATTTCGAATAGGTTGACACTAACAGTTATCCAACACAGTTTTTAGCCATTACTTAACTTTAGATATTGTCACAAACTGACATTAGCTTATCTATGACTATAGAATGGATATTCTTGAGTTCTGTTGACTTGTGACCTATGCCGATCAGTGACACTGGTTGGTGATAGCTTTATATCACCAGTCGAAAGCAATTAGAATTAACGTGTCATTGAATGATCAGTGGGTTCCCTATGTAATCAGGAAGTCCTTGATTCAACTCCGAGATCAGGAAATCCCATATCAGGACGAAACTGCTGTCCAATACTCCTTGGTTTTTCACTTATTGTCTAATCAACGTTGATTTGTGATTGAAACCTACAGTGAAATGAATCAAAACCACTACTAAAACTCAAAATTTAAATTAATTGAATAGTTTAAAACATGATTTATTAACTACGGGTGGGTATACGTAATCAGTTTTGATAGGAGAGTTTTAACTGTTAACCCTGGTGATGCAAAATTGTTTATGCCTTCTAAAGTGAATTATAATTCTTAAGCCTAGAAAATATATGGTGGTGTGCTAGTGAAGTTCAGGTACAAATTCCTTAATATTTACTATCACGTAAAAATTGTTTCCGGTGATATATGTGTAAAACATGCTCACTGTTGTAGTATGTAATTCCACGTGAATTTCTCTATTGGATATATCACAGAATGAAACAGTATTGTTTTCTGCACCACGTCTCGAACACAATTTATTGTTCATAATTATATCAAATCTACTCAACTTCGAAACGTTAATTTTCATAGTTCTCTTTTTGTTCCTACCCAATCGTCCTGTAGGTAGTAGGATCTTGCAAATCTCCGAGACAGGTGCTGAATCATTCCTACTGCACGTATTTTCTGTCAATTCAATAAATAAACCCTCAGTTGTCTAGCTCTCCTTCGACTCTGTCACCTTGTCCTGTCATATTGTGTGACTGTTTGTAGTGAGTTCGATATCTGATCTCAGTTTTCTAGATCAAATAAATGCAGATTTCTCTAGGATTTGTGCTCCATTAATCCAACTGACCTACTACTACTACTACTACTTACACGCTTGCTAATTAATTTACTTCCAGTGAGAGTTTGTTGTGAGAATGCAAAATAATTGTGACATCAGGGGGTATATAAGTACTTGTCTATTGATATAACAGTCTATCAAAGATCCTCATACATTTGGTTCCCTTGATAAATGTCGATAGAGAAGGGAAGACTACATGTGCAGTATGAAATAATATCATCATTCTATTTCTCAGGTTCTCATCAGCTGCTGCAACCTACCTGAAATTACAATGGTTATAAATAATAACATCTCATTCTTCCTTGTTTGAAAGGCAATGGTGAAAACATTATAAGATGAAGGCATCCGGAATATAAGTATTACAATTTATAGTTTAAGTTACCATCAATTTATATACTATCAAACAATGAAAAGAAAGGAGGAGGATGACAGAAGACAGAAAAGAAACAAGGTAATAACACAACAACAAGGTCAACAAGGTAACTCAAGAAGGTTAAAGTTCATCAAATTGAAAACTTGCTAAGTGAGCTGAGCTCACTGGTATGTATGACTAATCAGTGTAATGAAAGTAATACGGTTACCAAGGGAGTCAGAGATTGACTACACTCTCTTTCTGTGTGCATAAGTTTGGTCTGAGACATTTGATTGCAATCACTTCAGCAAATCGTAATAGATTCTCTGTCCTTTGTATGTTTAATATTTTGAAGGATTTAGAAATCTCGACGAAATGATCCGTATCCACAAGGTGTCTGATAATTACACTTTGTAAATATCTGCTTCCTTTTAAGCATAAGTTTCTTGGAATATGCTATGAAAACCGGATAGAACCCCTTCTTTCTGTCCTTCCAATGTACCTGCTGCCTCAGGTTCACGTAAATTTATAAATGCAGTTGAAGGTAAAATCAGCAGTTAACTTATAGAGCATGTAGTGCTGTATAGTGTCATCAGCTTAGCTACAGGGAAGCATCTTTTTATTGCTCCTTTCATCCTCCTTTGAATCTTTTGCGATACTGTTTCTCCTTTATACGGGAGACAAATGAACACTTTCTTCTTTTCAACTGTTGGATACTTCGCTTTCTCATCTCTTTATTTGCTGTACTTTAGGATAAATTTCTTTGGATACTCGTTTTCTTTAAGGCATTTTTCAACAAAGCTTAATTCTTCTTCTACATTGTTAGGCGAACGTTAGGTGTGAACGAAACAACGCACCACCAACAACACACGAAATGTTGGTTTTTTCCTCAGTTCGCTTCAATTCGGTGTCTTTGTTGATTGTTTATTTCAGTTTATATTTCATTTTGTGAAAGACTTTAATGTCTCTAATTTTTTTTTTGGTTACACTTTTTTTTGCTTTTTACTCTTTGTTAATGAAAGCTATTGGCGTTGCAGTGAAAATGATTGATGCTATAACTCGTCTGCCAGGATTATCTGCTTTACTGTCTGATCGGTCAAATTTGCTCAGAGCCAGCTGTTCCTCTTCTTCAGACAATTCAAAATTAGCTAAATTAGAATATAATGAAGCATTGAATGCTTTACGAAAAGAAGGAGTTAAAGGTATGCATAAATATGTTAAACTCTGTCCATTGATCTTTCTAAACTTTTTAATAAAGCTTCTTTTGGTTGATTGGCCAATTTTGTAAAATTCATTTTTTTTCAAGCGTTGTTTTACAGGAATTCGATCAATTACAAGCTTCACTGGGCAGCTGCTTCGTCCCAACTTGGGACTCTTCATCAGCACTCGTCCTGAAAAGCCAGTCTGTATCATATAGGGTTGAAGTTATAGGTTGATTATTGTCAAATAATTGTTTAGCATGTGATAATCAATGCAGCCGTCTATTTCGGATTCTATTGACTGACTGAAATCTGTTGGTCAGATGCGGAACGTACTCATAACCGTACTTCAAGATCCACGGATAGATTTTAACGGACTTCTTCAAGAATAGAAACACCTAAACTGATTACTATGTGTGATAACATGAATGAGGTCAAGGTATTATTATTATTCTCATGAGTAAAAAGTGGAACATAGAGCCTCAGTAGGCTACATGCTAGTCCATAACCATATTCATCTCCTTCATGATGTCACTCTTGTACACATACACCCAACTCGTCGTTTCCCGTTTGGGTTCAACTCTGGGCTCCGAAGTGTGTAACGTCCCTTAACGGTCACTTCAGCGTATTTCCAATCCACCTCCATTGTCTTCTGAATATTTGTTGTTTGGTTGGTTTATTGTTGGAGTTCCTTATTGCTAATCCCTCCTCACTGGGCGCCTGATCTCCGGTATTGAGGCCGGTGAAGTCAGCCTGTCCATAAAAGTCTGTAGCAGGCTACTGAAAATGCCCTAATGGCACTCGTGCCACTTATCCGAAACAAATAAAATCACTGACTTAGCATTAGTGTTCAAAATCCAAAGATATATATAGGCTTTTAATTGGTTGTAAAGTATTTAATGGCCAAGATGACGTGATCGGACCACTAGATGTTGCTCCGGTTGTTGAAAGTTGCTCTTATTGAAAATGTACCTAAACTGGTTTACTTCTGAAAGCTAAGTAATCCGGATCACTTTTATTATGAGAGCTTAGGTGAAACACTTGAATTTATCGACGTAAATAGTAAATGATAATCCCTGTGTGCGTCAGGGGCTGTGTGGTAGAATACTGACCAAACACGAACGTTTCTCTGGAGTTCGATTCCCCAGCCTACTCACTTCTAAACCTTGTTTAGCTGTCAGTAAGTCAAGCAAAGATGGAAAGTTAGAGGTGAGACTAGCAAACGCACCCTGTAAAAGAATAAATACCCACTGCTACTGGAAGTTAAAAGCTAAAGCTCGAAGGCTTATATTCCAAGGGGAACTTAGAGGAATATAAGAAATTTAATATGAATAAATATAATTGTGTTTGTATATTATCCACCGTTGTGTGTGTGTGGGGGGGGGGTCTTTTCAGCTTAAATGCAATAAATATTGATCATTATCAGGTTTATGTATAAAGTCGTTGTCTCTTTTTAGTTAATAAGAATCAGGTAAGTTGCGTAAGACTGGAGTTTGGGTATTGTCGTCGGATATACAGTGCTACACTAGACAAACTTATTTCCTATAACATACACTAAAATGACGTTTCCTAGCATAATTTATTTCTAATAATGATCTTAGTGTATTTCTACGACTTGCTAACTTGCTTTATATAACCTCATTCCCTACTGTTTTCTATATCAATGCTCTATATACATCTAGGATAGATAAAGCATGTTTGGAAGACGTTTTCAACACAACTTATTTGCTTATAAGCATACGAGTATATTCACATGACTTAATAACTTGCTTTACATAGTCTTATTTCCTCCTATTTTATTATTATTGAAACTTTCCATTTATCCTCTGCGAATATATTGCATCATTTCGATTGCACGTGTTCGGTGTTAATTAGATGCACAAAGACTGAGTGACTAATCTCTCTTTCTGTCCAATAAAACATCTTAATTTTGAATACTCTTGCCCTATCCCTCCCTCCCTGAGCCCAGCATCGGTGGCACAGCAGTAGAATGCTAGCTGACCAAGCATGTAGTCCGGCGTTCAATCCCCGACGGACGCACTCTGACACCTCGCTAAGCCAGTAATACGACTGGCAAGGAGCGAAGATTGGGGCATGAGGCTAGCAACCTCATCCCGTAAAAATAAACACCATTGCCATTGAAACTTTAAGCCTCTAGCTTGAAGCCATATATTCCACTGGGATCGTGAAGGAATAAAAAAATTCCGCCCTGTTGTGTGATTATATGTGAGTGAATACATTGCAATGACTATTGTAAAATGACAATATAGAACTAGCATAAGTTGATCTGGTCTGCTCTTTTTGTAAAATCAATTTATTTTCAAAAGAATGGTTACTGAACAACGAACATTCTTTTCGATAACATCATCAGTAGTTTCTACAGTTATATATGTCTGTCTGTCTGTTTTTGAAACCGATGTGCAGAAGCTCAATTCTCCACACTCCCTTCATGTAACACACAAAGCAAGAGAAGAAAGAAGAAATGCATAATAGAGACAGTAAACAGAGGTGTGAGACAAAAGAATAGTAATGACGAAGAACAATAGAGTTTTGTTAGAAATCATAAGTCACATGGAGTGGATGCATCTGAGCCAATAAGAACGATTTCGAGCCATATCACCAATTGTCTTCAGCCTTAATTGGTTTTTACCGTCCCGAGGATCCCAACCAGTCAGGAAGTCTTCACCTTCCTACGTGACTGGCTTAAACTAACTTTTGTGGATTTCATTGACTATTGCCATGTTTTGGTTTGACCACCACTAGCTAGCTCTTTTCCAACCTGACCCATCCTATGCCAGTCAGCTAACATTGCCTATTGTCGAGGAAGGCGGTGACTAGGCATACATAACACATGTCCTAACCATCTCAGCCGATGTAGCTTCACAGCCTCGCCGATTGGTTTCTCCTCCTCACTGAGCAATCGACTGGCACCTAACCTCACCCTATTATACCACTTCACGTGAGAGATAGAACGCAGGGACCTATGATTAAAGACAGCTAGCCAAGCTTTTCATGTCTTCCACTGTCAATGGCCAGGTCTCACAGCCATAAAGGAGGATGGGGCGGACTGCTGAGCAGTACACCCACCCTTTGGTCGACAGCCAGCTAGCCGGATATCACGTCTACTCCAGAGACGGCGTAAACTGGAATATGCGAAACTAGCCTTCTGTATCCTTGCTGAGATTTCGTCAAATATCAATCCGTTGGCGTTGCCTGATGGCACTTACCAAATAATTGAAGCGGTCAACGTGCTGTACCACTTCACTCCCTATTTCTAAACTAGGAATCAGTGTAGTCCAGTCCTGTAACATCATCTTACATTTAGTGGGAGTGAATCACACGCCAAACATTCGTAGATTACAGCTCAAGGTGTTCAGAAGACTCTGTATTTTGTCAGCGTCCTCCCTAGAAGGACTATATCGTCTGCATATTCTAAGTCAGTGAGATTATTCCCTGGTAGCAAGTCAATCCTGTGTCTTTGAAGTGAGTTAGGGTTGAGTCCATCGGTACATCTATGATGAAATTGAGTAGAAAGGGTGATAATGGGCATCTCTGACGGATACCACTAGTCGTCACCAGTTCAGATGACAACTCGCCGTAAGCCTCCACCTAGCTGCATGAGTTCGAGTAGAATTCCTTGATCAGTGCAATGTATTTTCTCGGCATTCCCTTCACGACCAAGCATCGCCAGAGTATCTCTTGGTCGACAGAATCGAATCTCGCCTTTAGGTAAGAATGCCTATGTTATAGATTCTGTCGAAGGGTGAAGATATGATCAATACACCCTCTTCTGGTCTAAAGCTTGCCTGGCTCTCTCGTGTTTGTGCTTCCCGAGCATCACTTAGTCTACGCAATATTATTGAGTCTGGGACTTTGGATACTATATTAGTCAAGCTAATCCCTCTGTGATTATCACAGTTTTATATATATATATATATATATATATATACTGAATCAATTAGTGTTATGAACAACATTAATGTTGTTTAAATAACATCGAATCAATAATAATAATAATTTCAGCGGATTACAGGTCTTATTTTCTACGGAACCAATGGTGATTTCCCAATTGAAGGATGAAGTACCTAGACTAACCACTTCTAATTGTATCTACCGATACAACTGCGCTTGTGGAGCAAGTTATATTTTCGTCGTTGTTTTAGGAACTTGATTTTTAGTCCTCGAGAATATCTCCCAGTGTGGCTATGTAAAGGTGTAGTAAAAATCATCAACAGTTCGATATTAGAACAACTGGTCCAAACCGGCCACAAAGCTAATATTAAAGAGTCCTTCTCCATCATCTATCGGGTACCAAATAAATTTCCATACCGCAGCAGAGGCTATCCCGATTCGCCTGTGTAGAAGAAGCAAGTCCAGCCAGCCAGCCAGCCACTACTACCGACCTGACCTTCAGTGGAAACTATAAATTCATGAATTTCTGATATTCACCATATTGTTATGTTGATACGCTCGAACTGTAATCCATTGATATTATTATTATTATTATTGACTCGATGTTATTTAAACAACATCAATGTGGTTAATATAAGACTAATTCACTCACTATTATATATGTATAACTGTAGAACCTGATGATGATGATGAAGTTATCGAAAAGAATATTCTTTGTTCAGTAATTCATTCCTATAAAAATTTTAATGGGAATTCTTAATCAATTAATAGATTTTGTCGAGAAGTAATATAATCTAAATGAAACATCAATGACCAAATAAAAAAAACAACAAGAAACACTCAGCTCTTGTCTGTTTTTAATGCTTGAGTCCTCATCAATACCCATGAATGAATCTTATGAGTGACCAAGAGCACTGACATGAAGATAGGTGTTGAGCGTTTTATTCATGGCACAGTTACTCAAACATATCAGACCGTTAGGTTTCCATCGACAAGCTGAATGATAATATGTAACGTGCCTTGTAACTTGATGATCTCTCATTGAACATTTAACAAATTAAGATGGCACAACTATCTGATGTTCTATGGTT